CACTAAATAAAACCACAACAGAAAACAAGTGTGCATCTTTTTCCGTGATCACAACCGTGAATGGCTGTGGTCCCACACGTGATGAGAGGCAGGGCCCTAAATTCTCCCCACCTTACCCTCACCCACTCCACTCCTCCTGATTCTCAGCAAGCCAAGAATGTTTCTCCCCACTGGCCTGGCCCTTGGCTTCTCTGCTATGTCCTGCTGCCACCCACCCATGTCGGTGAAGACTCGGAACGGGCCTCCTCCAAGCCTTCACTCCATGTCCACTGCTCTCCCGGAACCCTGCCTGGTTCCCTGTTCACCGACCACATGTTCAACTAGTGACCATCTCTCCCCAAGTCAAATGTCAAGACCCATAAACGGCATCAGGAAAATTGTCCCAGTTAGGGGTTGCCATTAGCAGAGTAGAGGGCCAGGGACCCCAGGCAACCCATAGACAGGCAGATCCTACATCATGCGCAATGGAGAAAGGACTTTATCAGGGCCTGGAATCTAACTCCATTTCACAGATAAACTGGAGGAATTTGGGTCTACACAGTAGGGTGAGTTTTCTGGGAATTTTGTTTTACTTTTTCAGACAGGCTTTTTCTATGTTTAACAGTCCTGGCTGTCCTGGAACTCGCTTTGAGACTAGACTGACCTTAAACTCACAGAGATCTGCCTGCCTCTGGATCCCAAGTGCATGGATTGTAGGCCACCACGCCCGGCTATTTCTTGGTAATCTTAACTGCTGCATAAAGTAGAAGGAATTTGTACTTCATGTTGTTCAGAACTTTACTAATCACAACACACATCACCCCCGCAGCAATGTTCCAGCATCAGTCACACACATGACTGTCCCTCTCTTAGCAACAGACCACTATACAAATGCATGCCATTTTTAAAAAATATATATATATTTATTTATTTATTTATTTATTTATTTATTTATTATGCATACAGTGTTCTGCCTGCATCCCTGCAGGCCAGAAGAGGGCACCAGATTTCAATACAGATGATTATAAACCATTATGTAGTTGCTGGGAATTGAACTCAGGACCTCTGGAAGAACACCCAGTGCTCTTAACCTCTGAGCCATCTCTCCAGCCCCACTTGCCATTTTTTTTAAAAAATGGTATTTTTTCATTTCGTATCCATTGCTATTGCCTGTATGAGGGTGTTGGAGTTACAGTTGTGAGCTGCCATGTGGGTGCTGGGAATTGAACTCGGGTCCTCTAGAAGAGCAACCAGTGCTCTTAACCACTGAGCCATCTCTCCAGCCCCCATAGATGCCAACTTTATAGCCTAGGACAAAATGGAAGTTGGTGCACTAGCTGAGTTTCATTTCCGGAGCATGAAGAGCCCAGTAGGAAGCAGCCAGCAGGGCAGCTGAGTGTCTTCCTGTGACAGGCTCCTCTGTTGCACTGTCTCTACACAAGTTCAAAGCCGGGCTCCACTGCTTGCACCTATGTGACCCTCCAAGCAACATGACACCTCTAAGCCTCTGTCAAATGGGAGCCCCCTTACAAACTGCATGGGGGATTCCAGGGACAGCGGGCATTTCCTACCTATTACCATTCCCCTTCCCTGAGCAAACTTTTCTCCGGGATCTCCTTCCTAGCCAGTGAACTAGGCGCTGGGGGCATGGGGACACTGAGACACTTGACAAGCTGCAGGAGGCCCTGAGTGAACCCCCTTTTCCCACCTCTCTAAGACCCTACTCTTCTAGTGGGGGACATCTGAGGGTGAGGGTGGTGTCGCAGGAATCTTAGAGAGTCTTATTAATTAAATCAAACCGATGCCAGGTATTGGGGTGAATGCTGGAAGATCAGAGAAGCAGAACAAGCCACAGCTACCTCACCTCGCCAGTTCCTCAGCTGGTCCTGTTTCCTCAGACTGGAAGATTCTGAGTCCTCATTCACAATGAATCTCAGCTAAACTGCTGCTAGAAGCCTGAAAGCTTAACCAGCCAAAATGCTTAACCAGACCAAATGCTTCTAGTTTCTGGTCTTCATGCCTTATACATCTTTCTGTTTTTGCCATCACTCCCTGGAATTAAAGGCTCACTTCTTGGGATTAAAAGCATGTGTCACCATGCCTGGCCATTTCCAATGTGGCCTTGAACTCACAGAGATCCAGAGGGATTTCTACCTCTGGAATGCTAGGATTAAAGGTGTGAGTGTCACCATTTTCTAGCCTTTGTATCTAGTGGCTGTTCCATCTCTGACCCCAGATAAGTTTATTAGGGTGCACAATATTTTGGGGAACACAATACCACCACAGGGTGGAGCAACCAGGGCCAGCTCCATGGGCTGAAGTAGGCAGTGACTGACTCCCTGCTGGAGAAGCTAGGGCCCCCAGGCCTCTTCCAGTCTGGATCCCTCAGCCCCCTAACCTGCCAAGACCTGTCTTTCCTGTTTCCTCTCTGGGCCTTCCAAGACAACAAATCCCTGATCTCACAAGCAGATGGGAGGGTAGAGATGGGCCAGCCAGAAGCCAAGGGCCAGGCGAGGAGAAGAGTCCTGGTCAAACAGGCAGAATCCGCAGGTGGATGGGCAGGATGCGGGCTAGATGGGCAGACACGAGACATTCCAGCCACAGAGGAGAAACAAGTTGGCCGCACACACAGAACTATGGCTGCCAGAGGCAGGCAGCCGGCCACTGTGGACAGCCATCTCAGCCAAGGGCTTTCGGTACCTTCTCCAGAACTTTGAATAGCTCTCTACTTCTCAGAGTCATCAGGGCCACCTTGTCACTTCTCGTGATTAACCACCATGGAAGGTAGAGCATCCCAGCAGCGTGCATCCTTCGGCAGGGTCCAGCAACCATCTCAACACTCCCCTTGTTCCAGCATAGCCTGTTTCCCTAAGGCTGAGTCACGTCTAACCCAGATAGGGACACACAGATCTGCTAGGCACAGTGATGCAGACTGCTTTGCAGAAGCCTGTCTCAAACCTCACAGCCTATTCATATGGACCCTCACGGAGAAGAGGTGTGTGCCCACAAACTTAGGTACAGACTGTTGTACAAGCTAAGCTGCAGCACACGCTAACACGTACGTGGTTGGCAGACCATGGTTTTCAATACATTCCCAACACTAGTTATTCTCTATGTGTCCAACTAGCCAGTCACACACATGCCTTAGAGAAGCAGGGATGAGCCCATGGTCATCCACGGGCATCACTTGCGATACTGAAATGTTGCCCCAGCCTGGGTATTGATTCTGGTCCTAACTCTACCTCTCAGCCCCATATAACCCAAAGGGTCACATCCTTGCTCATGCCTGGTTTTCCTCCAACCTCTCTGGTTTGCTGTTGAAGATTCTTCCTCCAGAGGACCCCTCAGTTTCAGTGTTCAGGGCTCAGGCTCCAGAAAGACTCCCTCCTCCCTGTTCTCTTGAACTAGGTGACCCACCTGTTCCCAGGATGCTACTCATATGGTCTTTCCTTGCTGAGAATGATATTTGGGCGCTGGGGCTATCCCTGCCTCTCTAACACCCACACCCAGGTATCTAGTGGGTATCGTGAATATGAAATCTAAAATCCAACTCTCACCCCCCCCCCCTGGGAGAAAAACAAACAAGAAAAACACGCTGCCCCCAAGACTTTCCTCTTCGGTTGCACAGCCCAAGATCAAGGCTAAATTCCTCTTCACTCCACACCACCTCCACAAAGGAACTCTCTTCAGGACACAGCCTGCATCCCCCTCCTTCTGGGTTAAGCCCCAATACCTGCCAGTCTGCTCCCTGTCTTTTCTGCCTCCATTCCTGACCTGCTGTGGCCTAGCCCATCTTGAGCCAATTGGGAAGTCTTTCCAAAGTGTAGAGTGGTTATGACACTCCCTCACTTAAGAGCCCGGGGGCTGTCAATTCACTCACAATGACAGCCAAGCTCCTCAGCGATCTGTGAAAGCTCCTGCGTGGTCTCACACCTCAGTCACCCTCCTCCATGCCCTTGCACCACGCATGCTAGCTGTCTGCAAGCCAGGCACCCCACTCATGCTCCTGTCCCTTGTTCCTGCCTAGACACTCTCCCCCGATTTTGTCATGGGTGCTTTCTCCTCAGGACTCAGTTCTTACCTGGGGTGTCCCTGTAAGAGCTGCCCAAGATGTTCCCCATGGCATTAATGGACTCCATCCACCACCTCCTCAGCAGCTCACAGCCTCTAAGGGCCTCTAACCTCTTTATTCTGAATCTCCATTCTTAGGAGGGGCCAGGCATCTACTGGGGGCGGGGGCGGGGCGGCGGGGCTGTTCTCATCCCACACTGAAACGCTGAAGCAGCATTAGAGGCAAGAAGGTAAGGACACATGAGCCAAGGGGCCTCTCTATGCTCAGAGCAGACTAAACAGTCACAAATACACCCAGGTGCGGGGCAGCTCGCCCCTTTCTCCGTCTCCTCTTGCCCCCTACTTGAACCCAGGCTGGCCTGGGGGAGTCCAGGAGGGGGGTCCTGCAGCTTGGACAGGGAGGGGGTTAATGGCCCTCAGGCCTCAGGCAGCGCCTCCAGCTATGCCTGCAATTTCCTCTCCTCATTCTTTCCCTCCTCCTTCCCAAGATTCCCGCCAAGAAGGCCTCCCCCAGCACAGGGAGGGGAAGTGGGGGGGGGGGTGGCCAGACGACTAGGCATAGAAGAGGCCAGCTGCAGACCGGACCCCCCCCCCCCCCCCCAAATCCTGTGCAAGCCTTGAGCCCAGGTGGAAGCACACGTGTGAGTCTGGGCAGGTCCAGCGGGCAAGGCAGCTAAGATGTCCCCGGCGCTTGCAGAGGCAGGGGCCCGGCTGGGGTCTGCAGGGTGCTGGGCCTGGCTCACCGCCGAATCTCACAATCATTAACCTTGGGTGACCACAGCAGCTGGACACACTCAGCCAGGCCACTGGGAGGAGGGGCTGAGCGAGCCTCTCTTCCCAGGAGGGCCAATGAGGACGTGGGGGTGCCGGCTGACTCCCCTGGGGCTAGGAAAGGGCCGGAGGGATGCAGGGGTTTGGACCCGCCCCATCACAGGAGGAGCCAGGGACGGGGGGAGTAGTTTGGAGTCTGCGCCCTACGGCCAGAGGGTTGTGAGTTCAAGTTCTGACTGTGTGGCAAAGTTCTTCAAGATCTTTATGACTCAGTTCACTTCAGCTGGAGATTTCATGACAACCACGTTCTGGGGTTGGTAGGTTTAAAAGAGGAACGTCTGGGGGGAAGGAGGGTACCTCCGGCGCCCAGGCCTTGGGGATGTTTAGTAACTAATGATGTTGTTGTTAGTACTGGCGGGGGCGGCCCCTGTGAGCGGCCTCCCCAGCGGCTTCCTGTAGGGGAGCAGGGGCCGCCCCCTCTCCCCTTCCTCCAGGCGCTCTTCCTCCCGCCTCTCCTCCCCGCCCCGCCCCGTCCCGTCCCTCCTCTTTCCTCAGAGGAAACTTTCCGCCGGCTGGTCCATCGGCGTGTCCGGCCGCACCACGGTGCGAACCGAGTAAGGCGGACGGGGCGGCCCCGCCCGGGTGTATGCAGCCGCCGGGGAGACGCAACTGCCGGGGGGCAGGCAGCGGGACGGACGCTGACCGGTGAGCGAGCAGGGCCGAGGCCCCTTGGGCGGAGGGGTGCAGGAGGGAGGCGGCAGGGGAGCCCGAGGGGGCACCGCCTCGTCCTTCCGTGCGCTGGGCCTCTCCTGGGGACCCCACGAGGGGGCGGAGCGTGTGCGGCCGCTCCCCGGGATGAAGGGGCGTCTGCAGGGGAGCAAGGACTTTTTAGCAGAGCCCCGATCTGCGACCAAATGAGGGGAACTGCTCTCCCCCAGGGTGGAGCTGCCCGAGGAGTGAGCGAGCGCCCTGGGCCCTGGAGGACCTGACCTGGCTGACCTCCCAGGCCGACAGGCGAGCTGAGCCCCAGCAGCATGGATGCCCCGAGGAAGGACATGGAGCTACTCAGCAACAGCCTGGCGGCCTATGCACACATCCGAGGTGAGGGCCAGGCCTGGGAGCTCGGAGCCCGTCCACCATAACCCAGGCAGCCCTCCGCTCCCAGATGCTCACCCTCAGTCCATCCCCAGATGCCTGTCCCCTGCTGCCCTTCCGTTCTGTGCCCCAAGCTTAGACCCTGGATCCCTCCCAGATGGGACGACTCCAGCTTGTCGGGCCCCTCTATGACCTTCGCTCCCTGCTTCCTAGCTAACCCTGAGAGCTTCGGCCTCTACTTCGTGCTGGGCGTCTGCTTCGGCCTGCTGCTGACCTTGTGCCTGCTAGTCATCAGCATCTCCTGTGCGCCTCGCCCGAGGCCCCGGGGCCCTGCTCTGCGCCGGGACCCTCGCGGCAGCACCCTGGAGCCGGAGGATGAGGATGACGAGGATGAGGACACCATGACGAGGCTGGGCCCCGATGACACACTCCCGGGCCAGGAGCTGTCTACTGAGCCCGACGGGCCGCTTAGTGTCAATGTCTTCACGTCCGCAGAAGAGCTGGAGCGCGCGCAGCGGCTGGAGGAACGTGAGCGAATCCTGCGGGAGATCTGGCGCACCGGGCAGCCAGATCTGCTGGGCACCGGCACGCTCGGGCCCGGAGCCACGGCCACGGGCACGCTGGGCCGCATGCACTATTATTGACACACACGACCCCACAGCATGGGTCCCTGCGTACTGGACATGGGATTGAACCCATGCTGCCCCAGGGTTCTCAAACTGCCTCTGCCCTGATTCTCTGGTGCTATTGAGCGTGGATCGCCGCCTGCTAAGCACTCTTCACTGGGCAGGTGTGGGTGGGAAAAGAATGCCGGGGCCCACCTTCTCCTCCTGGTAATAATGACCAATGAAAGCTAGTCTCAGTGACTCAGTCTCTCATTTGGCAGGCCCCCCGGGCTCCAGCGTTGCAGGGGAGTCCCAGGGCTTTTGCTGGTTGCACCCCCTCTGGAGATCCATCCAGTGCATGCTTGTGCTCACTTCACAGACCAGAGAACCAGACCGAGACACGCCTCTTGCCCTTGAACACAGGACAGGTATTACAGGCATTCCTCACAAATATGTTCCTTACTAGCCAGCAGCGCTTGGGAAGATGTCACCTAGTCCCCTCCCTGCCCTATGACCTGCCCCGGGATGTCACTGCAGTCACACAGGGAAGCCTAAGGCTCAGACCTTGATACTAATTCTCTTAGACTTAGTGCCTGAGCGGAGCCTGGAGTTCGCTTCTGGGCCCAATATCATTCCAAGTGAGTGGACACAGGAGTTCCTTAGAGCAGAGGCTAACTGGGAGGAGCTGGGCCCAGAGATGGCTGGCTCCACCCCTCTAGCGCACAGCTGGGTTCCTGAATCCAGGAGGGTCTGGGCCCCTCCACCCCGCATCCAGCACAGGGCCAGCGTCCGAAGGAGACTACCCCCGCCCCCAACCATCCGGTGGATAAAAATAGCCTTGCACAGGCCTTGAGAATGGTAATGGGAGCCACATGTTGGCCAGATGTGCCCAAGAGAGAGCGCCAGGAATGCGGAGGGCGGTGTGCTGACTGGCGGCCCCGCCTCACACGGACCAGGCTGGTCTAAGAGTTCAGAGTTTTTACTTCCTTGGAGTTTCTCAAAGCTTTGTGCAAGGACAGGGGTGGCCCGAGCAGGATGGACGTCCCCTCCAGGTCGGGCTGAGGTTCTGCCTGAGCCCGCCCTCATTCTGTCTGTGTCTGCGCGTGTTTGAAGGACTTCGGGGTCCTCTGCGTCGTCTGAACCTAGTCGGGAGAGGGCGTGAGGGACCAGAGCCACTCACTGGCTACTGCCCTCCCCCGCCTGGGTCCGCATTTCACCCACCTCCAGCGACTGGAGCTTCTCTCTCTCGGTCTTCAGTTCCTCCCAGACATCACTCAACTTCTGTCTGTGGACACCAGGTTCAGGTGAGACACTGGGCCCTTCCCTTGGTCTCCCGCCCCACCCACTCTGCATTACTGCCCACTTACTCCATCTTCAACTCCAGACGCTCCAGCGCGTTCTTTAGCGACCCCACCTCTTTCTTTAACGATGCTACATCCGTTTCGTCATTCTGGCTTTTGGAAGAAGTTAGTGGGACCACAGGATGAAGTGTGGGAGCTTCTTCAGGGTCCGGAATCTGCTTGATAATATGTGGCACTTGGGGAATGGGGACTGACTCTTTCGGAGGCATCTGCTTTTGGGGACCCACCCCTTCAGAAGGCGGCTCTTCTTTGGGGAGTGCCTCTTTCGGGGTTGTTTCATCTTTGCCTGGTAGTCCCTCAGGAGAGGTGGCTTCCTCCACGGCAGACTCATCCTTAGCCCTGGAGTGGGCTAGGGAACTGTCACCGTGTTGGATCATACAGCAGCATCTCACTGAGGTGTTAGACCGTTGAGGGTGCTCTCCTGGCACCTGGATGTCATTTGGAGGTGCAAGTGACTCGGACCCCTGTGTGGTTTCTTCTTGAGGCAAATGTTGGCACTGAGCGTTGTTCCTAGAAGGGTCCTCTTCAAAAAGCATGTGCTCCGGGGTCAAGATCTTTACCAGTGCAGGGGTACTGTCCGCATGAAGGGCCACCTTCGGGTCAATGGTTTCATCCTTAGCTGGGGCTTCTAGGGCAGGGGCCTCATCCACAGAAAGGGCACGCCCTGTACTGGCAGCCTTGTCTACGGTGGTATTCTCTGCAGTGGGAATTTTGTCAGAATTCAGGGCTTTCTCTGGAACGGGGTTCTCTGGAGTGGAGACTTTGTTGGGAGCCAGGATCTTCTCTGGGCCAAGGGTCTTATTATCTGGAGTGCGGGTTTTATTTGTGGAGGAGGCCTTTCCTGGGCTTCTCTGGTCATCCTCCTGTGGTGATGGTAGGGATGAGGTCTCCGTTGGAAGCTGGATTCCTTAAAGGAGCTTCCTGGTTCCCCTTGGGACCTTTCACCCTTACACAACACACCTGTGGGAACCACCTCCTCCCGGGCATCCTTTCTCCCATATATCCGGCCCCTCACCTGATTGAATACAGAATGTTGTTGGGAAGCCTGGGTTCTGGATCGCTTTCTCCCTGGTTGCCTGGGTCCCCCATTGAGGAAGCTGCCATTGAAGCCTATGAGAGTAGGACTTCAGAGACCCAAGCTCATCCATCCCTGCCCCTCAACACATCCCTGGTCTTCCACTGTAGGAAGGGAGCCCTTACCAGTGTCTCGGGAAGGGCATTTCTGGCTGTCCCCACTGGGCGTAGATATCCTGGAACATATCTCCATCAGCAACAAAGACGGGGTGGAAGGGGTTTCTCCTCTGTACCCCCCTCCTCCCCAGCGCCCCACCTCCTTACTTGGTTTTGTTAGGTGCCGAGGCGGCGGCTGCCACCCTCTTGACAGAGGGTAAGGATGTTTTGGGCATCAGCTTTTTCGGTTCCTTAATAGGGGCTGGGAGGAGAGAGAGAGGAGTATGCCCACCTGCCTAAGTCCTTGGTCATGTATGCCTTGTGCTGTGCACAGAAGCCTGACTTTGGGAGACTACCTCGGGCTTAGGGAACGATGGAACACCCCACTGTGGAGCACCCCAAAGGAACACAGCACAGCAGATAGGTATCAGGGAAGGCTTTGTGGGGGAGACAGCTCTCTATCCTGCCAGGCTTTGATCTACTCTTTGAAGACCTGTCCCCTGCTTGGTGCCCATAACAAGTTCTCTCTTTGGTTCAGTCTTCGTTTCTTGTTGAACTGCCGCCCCCTCCCCCACATACCTTTTTTCCCCAAGACAGAGTCTTACTTTGTAGCTCTGGCTGTCCTAGAACTCACTATGTAGACCAGGGTGGCCTCAAAATGCAGAGATCCGCCTCTGACCCCCAAATGCCAGGACTAAAGGCGCTCCGCTATACCCAGCTTCAATTTCCCCCTTCTAACCTCACTGGCTTCCACTGCTGTCTCACACCTTTATGTGACCGCACCCAGTCTTCAGGGTTTAGTCATCATCAATAAACCGATGATGCCCAAATCTCCATCTCTGTGACCACTGTGAACTCTCAGTCATGTCCAGGTACCCTGTCACCAAGGTCATGAGCTCAAAGGATGAAGAGATTACAGAGACTAGGTCTCAAAAAAAAAAAAAAAAAAACAGTTCAGCACCTACAACATGGTATTTAGAAGCAAGTTCCTGTCTCCTGTACCCCAGCCCAAGCCTTCCTCATTTCCAGTCTCATGATAAGGCTGTGAGGAACTGGCTTTGCTTTTTCTTTTCTTTTGTTTGTTTTTTGAGACAGGTTTTCTCTGTGTAGCCCTGGCTGTCCTGGATCTCACTCTGTAGATCAGGCTGGCCTCAACTCAGAGACCCAGCCTGCCTCTGCATCCTGAGTGCTGGGATTAAAGGTGTGTGTACCACATCCACTAAGAATAGATACACACCTTCTGAAACAGGGTCTTACTAGTTATTGTTACCCAGGCTGGGCTCAAGTGATCTTCCTGATACCTACAAGTAGCTAGAAATATAAGTACAACCAGGAAAGCCAGCAATAGTATA